TCCCTCCAAGTAGGCCCAATCCTTCTCCATCTTGTGCTTCATCACTTGATTTGTGTACATTGTGAGCTTGGCAGCAATCAGTGAAGCTCGCTCCACTGTATCTCGCTGTACGATGATCATTATGTATTCGACCACTGATGTCTCCGTAGCATTGCTCGTGTCTTGTGGGAACATCGGGTGAGCAATGATGAGGTCCGTCGTCGTGTGTTGGGTGCGGATAGTCATTTCCTAACAGAAGTAATCGCTCTACACCGCCTCGGATGGCTTAGTCACGTTTTGCGTATGCCTGCCCATCGGCTACCTTTCCGTGGTCTTTTCACGTGCCGGGCAAGGCTGGAAGAAGCGGCGCGGCGTAGAGGTATGAAGAACCCTAATCGTTCTCCTGCCTAGTAGCTGGACACCCTAGCAGTACCCGTCCATCAAACCCCAGTGCATATGCATTGCGAGTTTGGCGAGATCAGTGAAGTTCGCTTCCTTGTATTTTGCTGTACGATGATGATGACCTCTACCACATGAAGGCAGTTAGTAGGGCTTCCACAGCAGAAGCTATCTGAGACGCTTATTCATATAAAAGCTTTTCACGAGGCGCAAGGGAAGGATGACCAATCACCACCCTTGACACTAACACTATTGCCAGGAAGCTACTCACGTTATTTTTGCTAATATTACTGAAAATTCACAGTAGCACAAATATTTATCTCTCTACAATTGAAACACCATAATCATACCACACAGTGACAGTTCAATATAACAGTAAGTCAGTAAACGGACTACCCAAGATACTGTCTACTAAAAATGATAATGCACCACCCTCTCCACCACGATATTAATACAATGAGATACCACTCGTATTAAATGTGAGTAGTATTTTGGTGCGCACACATTGAAAAAGTGGACGCTCTCTCGTGACCCCTCGGAGTAGACGCAAAACAAGGAATTCCACATGTGGCTGCAAAACTGTCGGATCGTTGAACCAACAATTGTGAGCTTTAATGAGAACGTGACTATTGTGTTTCAAATTGCACGTTTGATTCTGCCAGTCCCGATTTCACCTTTACATATTTCATGCTTACACCAAACAATTCCTCAGCTCAACACTCGACTTGCTAATGCGTAGCCACAGCAGCCCTGAGCGCGTCTGTCTATTCAAGTCCAAAGCACTGGTCGAGCAAAAATGACAATCCAAAGTAAAGGATTATTTCAGATAAGAAATTTATCTGTACATATTGGTCATATTGGGAGACATGACCTGAGTGAACCCCCAGAAAAGAGGTTAAGAAGACATCCTTTCCCATTCGGCCACGCATGCGAAAACAGCATACATTGAACTGTCAGACTCCAGTGCATATGAAAGGTTGACGTAGATGGGTTCATTGCCTACAACGCCGCATCCAACCGGATCGCGTGAGCACGAATTTTGCCAAAGATTTTGTTAGGCGGTGCACCGAGAATCAGGTCACACAGAGCGCGTCGGGCCACGGTGATCCGTTCGTTGCTGCCCAGAATGTGAATTGTCTCGTCGGCAACAATGATCCGAGTTCGTGTTGCATTTTCTACACACAATCGTATCCGACCTTTGGCTCCACAAATGCGACCAACGGCCCGAGCCATATGATCGCCCTGATGTCCAAATGATCAAGACATAGGAAGGGAAAGGGACATAACGAGGGTTGCAAAGAGATACTACTGCCGTATTTACAATGAACGTGACCAACATACATTAAGATATAATGGAGTGTATATACATTGAAATTCGTAAAATGTTGGACCCTGTAAAAGTAGTCTTCAAAAAGTAATCAGTTACCGATACCTAAACCAGTTATAATATTTTCTACACAAAAAGCACCAAAAATAGGGTACCTCTGAAAAGCAGAAATCTCTAAAA